ACACTTACTATATGAGTCTCATTTAAAGAGCGGCAAGCATGACTGTCGCTTGCCTGCGAAAAATTTGAAATATTAATTTCCTTTAACGTTTTTATGGCAGAATCTTCAGTGTGTCTTTGCACTTTATCAAAAGAGCAGAGCTATACTTTCCTTTTTCAAGTAGTTTTTTCAGCATAAAGCAATTATTAACAACTAAAGGCTTAGAGAAAGACCTACAAAATTAAAAGGTCAGATCCTCACAGACAGGATGAGCTAAAAGCTTGTTGAATCTCAGAGTTGAATGGTTTACATATGCTGTCAGTCTTTTGAGCAGCAGGGGGCCGTTTAACCTGCTTCATGTTGAAGGACCTGGATTTTGTCACTCCTATTTTGACTGAGCAGGCCATGAGCTGATTATGAGGATTAGTAGAGATGTGGTGATCCCGTGCCTCTCCCACTCACTCTCAGCTCAACAACAGCTGTAAAGACTCGGCCTGAGAATCTGGTGGGACATGGAGCTTTTTCCAACCTTGAGAGACCTGACTCCACATCTACATCTAAATGTGGATCCATCCATGGCAAAAAGGAAACTACAACAGACTTTATTTCGTTCAACTGGCAGCAGCAGTGTATGAAGTGTGACAGTAGGACTGAATGGACGCAAAAGTGGCCTGGTGTTGCATTAAACATGAGAGCCATCAGATTTAGCTGCCAGCCTTCAGCCACCTTGGAAGGAAATCAGAGACTAAATGGGTTCAAGAGCCTGAACGCTGGCACCAGATCAGCTAACCAATGGCACATCCTCTAACAAGTGTTTCTTCACAGGCCTTTGAATGTGATTCTCACTCCAGTTTCAGCTCTGTCCTATTATGGCACATTCTCATTGTAAGACTCAAAGGCAATGCCAGGCAACAGAGAACAGAACATTCCCTGCAAGCCTGACAGTGATATGATGGCCTGAAATGAAGCTTCAATAGATTTTTTTACACACACACACAGACACACACGCACACACACACATGCACACACACACACACACACACACACACACACACACACACACACACACACACACACACACACACACACACACACACACACACACACACACACACACACACACACTAAACATGCA